GGACTGTAAGAGTTTCTTTAGATACATAAAGAGCAAAAGTGGACATTCGACCACTGGAAAATGAAGCTGGAGAAAGAGTAGTGGGGAACAAGGGAATGGCTAAGGAACTGAATAATTACTTTGCGTCAGTCTTCACAGTGGAAGACACGAGTAATATCCCAAAAATTCAAGAGAGTCAGGAGGCAGAACTGAGTATGGTGGCCATCACCAAGGAGAAGGTGCTAGAAAAACTGAATGGCTTGAAGGTGGATAAATCACCTGGACCAGAAGGACTACACCCCAGAGTTCTTAAGAAGATAGCTGAAGAGATAGTGGAGGCATTAGTGGTGATCTCTCTGGAATTGTTCAAGTCAGAGGACTGGAAAATCGCAAATGTGACACCCCTGTTTAAAAAAGGAGTAAGGCAAAAGACAGAAAATTAGAGGCTGATTTAGCCTAACCTCTGTGGTGGGTAAGATTTTGGAGTCCATTGTGAAAAATGAGATTTCTGAATACTTGGAAGTGAGCATGGCTTCATCAAGGGGAGATCATGCCTGACAAATCTGTTAGAATTCTTCAAGGAATTCTTCGAGCACGTTAGACCAAGGAGAGCCAATGGATGTTATCAAAGAACAAACAAAGAGCAAAGAAAATTACAGCATAGAACAGGCCCTTCAGCCCTCCAAGCCTGCGCCGATCCAGATCCTCTATCTAAACCTGTCGCCTATTTTCCAAGGATCTGTATCCCTCTGCTCCCTGCCCATTCATTTATCTGTCTAGATAGATCTTAAATGACGCTATCGTGCCCGCCTCTACCACCTCCGCTGGCAACGCGTTTCCAGGCACCCACCACCCTCTGTGTAAAGAACTTTCCACGCATATCTCCCTTAAACTTTTCCCCTCTCACCTTGAAATCGTGTCCCCTAGTAATTGAGTCCCCCACTCAGGGGGAAAAAGCTTCTTGCTATCCACCCTGTCTATACCTCTCATGATTTTGTAGACCTCAATCAGGTCCCCCCTCAACCTCCGTCTTTCTAATGTAAATAATCCTAATCTACTCAACCTCTCTTCATAGCTAGCGCCCTCCATAGCAGGCAACATCCTGGTGAACCTCCTCTGCACCCTCTCCAAAGCATCCACATCCTTTTGGTAATGTGGTGACCAGAACTGTACGCAGTATTGCAAATGTGGTCGAACCAAAGTCCTACACAACTGTAACATGACCTGCCAACTCTTGTACTCAATACCCCGTCCGATGAATGAAAGCATGCCGTATGCCTTCTTGACCGCTCTATCGACCTGCGTTGCCACCTTCAGGGTACAATGGACCTGAACACCCACATCTCTCTGTGCATCAATTTTCCCCCAGGGCTTTTCCATTTACTGTATAGTTCGTTCTTGAATTGGATCTTCCAAAATGCATCACCTTGCATTTGCCTGGATTGAACTCCATCTGCCATTTCTCCGCCCAACTCTCCAATCTATCTATATTCTGCTGCATTCTCCGACAGTCCCCTTCACTATCTGCTACTCCACCAATCTTAGTGTCATCTGCAAACTTGCTAATCAGACCATTTGTACCTACCTCCAGATCATTTATGTATATCACAAACAACAGTGGTCCCAACACGGATCCCTGTGGAACACCACTGGTCACAGTTCTCCATTTTGAGAAACTCCCTTCCACTACAACTCTCTGAATCCTGTTGCCCAGCCAGTTCTCTATTCTTTATCTACCTGGACTTCCTTGACAAGGTGCTGCACAGGAGGCTGCTGAGTAAGATAAGGGCCCATGGTGTTAGAGGCAAGGTGCTAGCATGGATAGAAGATTGGCAGTCTGGCAGAAAACAGAGAATAGGGTTAAAAGGGTCTTTCTCAGGATGGCATCCGGTGACAAGTAGTGTTCCATGAGGGGTAGTGTTGGGACCACAACTTTTCACTTTATGCATTAATGATCTAGATGAAGCAACTGAGGGCATTCTGGCTAAGTTTGCAGACAATACAAAGCTAGGTAGAAGGACAGGTGGTATTGAGGATGCGGAGAGGCTGCAGAAGGATTTGGACAGTTTAGGAGAGTGGGCAAAGAAGTGGCAGATGGAGTACAATGTGGGAAAGTGTGAGGTCATGCACTTTGGTCAGAAGAATAGAGGTATGAACTGCCTTCTAAATGGGGAGAAAATTCAGAAGTCTGAAGTGCAATGAGACTTGGAAGTTCTAGTCCAGGATTCTGTCAAGGTAAACTTGCAGATTGAGTCAGTAGTTTGGAAGGCAAATGCAATGTTGGCACTTAGTTTGAGGGGACTTGAATGTAAAAGCAGGGATGTGCTACTGAGGCTCTTTAAGGCTCTGGACAGACAACATTTGGAGTATTTTGCGCACTTTTGGGCCCTATATCTCAGGGAGGATGTACTGTCCCTGGAGCGGGTTCAGGAGAGGTCCGCATATCCTGTTCTCAGTCCCAAATAATCCCACTGCCTTGCTCCCCCTCCCCACCAGAGCACAGTATGAATCTCAAACCAACCCCCCAATGCCCCGCTCTCTCCCCGTAGCCTAGCATCAATCCTAAACTAATCCCACTGCCCTGCGCTCTCCTCGTAGCCTTATATAAATCCCCAAACCAATCCCACTGCCCCAATCTCTCCCCATAACCCTGTATCAATCCTAAAGTAATCTCACTGACTAACTGTCTTCCCCATTTCCCTGTATTAACTTGAATTGAAATCTATTATTCTATTCTCCAAAACTCAAATTTCAAACTAAACTTTATGTAAGATCAGAGATAGTAGGAACTGCCAATGCTGGAGAATCTGAGACAACAAGGTGTAGAGCTGGATGAACACAGCACGCCAAGCAGCATTAGAGGAGCAGGAAAGCTGACGTTTCGGGTCTGGATCCTTCTTCAGAAATGGGGGAAGGCAAGGGGATTCTGAAATAAATAGGAGAAAGGGGGAGGCGGATAGAAGATGGATAAAGGAGAAGATAGGTGGAGAGGAGACAGACAGGTCAAGGAGGCGGGGTTGGAGCCAGTAAATGTGAGTGTAGGTGGGGAGTTAGGGAGGGGATAGGTCGGTTCAGGGAGGACGGACAGGTCAAGGAGCGGGATGAGGCTAGTAGGTAGGAGATGGGTGTGGGCCTTGAGCTGGGAGGAGGGGATAGGTGGGAGGACAGGTTAGGGAGGCAGGTACGAGCTGAGCTGGTTTTGGGATGCTGTCGGGGGAGGGGAGATTTTGAAGCTTGTGAAGTGCCCATTGATACCATTGGGCTGCAGGGTTCCCAAGCGAAATATGAGGTGCTGTTCCTGCAACCTTCGGGTGGCATCGTTGTGGCACTGCAGGAGGCCCAGGATGGACATGTCGTCCAAGGAGTGGGAGGGGGAGTTGAAATGGTTCGCGACTGGGAGGTGCAGTTGTTTGGTGTGAACCGAGCGTAGGTGTACCGCAAAGCGTTCCCCAAGCCTCCGCTTGGTTTCCCCGATGTAGCGGAGGCCACAACGGGAACAGCGGATACAGTATACCACATTAGTGGATGTGCAGGTGAACATCTGCTTGATGTGGAAGGTTTTCTTGGGGCCTGGGATGGGGG